ATATATTAGAATTACCTGGTGTTTTTAAATATGATAAAAACGTTTTTTTGAATGACAACTAAGCTGAATAAAATCATCTGTACACATATAGTAAAGCTACATATTGCAAATATATCACAGTTTCGTATAAAGTTATAGAGACACCATTTTCATACACAATATGGAACTTTATGAAACATTAAACAATAGCAATTCAAAAAAATTTAAAGTGACTACTTACCTATTACTCTATACACAGATATAAAAAGCAATGTCAAAAGTATAAAAGCTGTATTCCACACCCAAATGTTTGGATCAACGGCAGAGATTCCCAGAAACATGAAGATAATAGTTTCAGCTCCACTTGCCACCATCTTCATCGTATATCTTACAGTTGTAGCAGATTGTTCAGAAATATTGGCTTTTACATATTTTTGGCAAAAAATTCCACAAAATGTAATCCTGAAATGATAAACGTTTTTTGTTAGGGACATTGCATTTCTGGCTAGATCAACAGGTTTAATGGCTAGTAAATGTGCAATATAATACAGATTTGTTATTGAGTTTAAATATCTCTTAAATGTAATTTATGTTTGCCAAGTAAAATGGGCTCGAGGAAATTAATTACAGACTTGTGGTCTAAAAATAGAGATTTGCGAGTCCTTCTTAAATCAGAAATAGATATGACTTGACTAAGAAATTCACCACTAAAAAAAAATAAACTAAGGAATTTGCAGCGACATTTTAAAAGAAAATGGTAAGCCTGTTTTTTTCATTATTATTGTAATGTTTACTGTAGAACAGGGGTGTCCATTAGGTAGATCGTGATCTACTAGTAGCTCTCAAAGCTGATGCTGGTAGATGACGAAGGGTGTGAATGGCGGCCCCTTTATTCCATTTTGGTATATTTATTTAGCTGTGCACACATGATTACCTATTAGCCTGAGTGTGCTGAGCCAAGCTCCCTGACACCTTTATGGTGGATACTGGTGGTTGAAGTGCTATGTATTATATCAAAGAATATTAGTTTACACATCCTGTTGCACTACACTGTTTGCAAAATACAGCAAGGTGAGCCAGGAGAGACAGCCAAGAGAGAGAGAGAGCCAGGAGAGAGAGCCAGGAGAGAGCCAGAAAAGATAGCAAGGACAGCCAGGAGAGAGAGCCAGAAAAGATAGCAAGGACAGCCAGGCGAGAGAGCAAGGAGAGAGACAGCCAGGAGAGAGACAGCCAGGTGAGAGACAGCCAGGAGAGTGTGGGAGGGTTTTTTTCATTGGTAGATCTTATGTAGCTCATCATTTGAAAAGTAGACCCCTGCTGTAGAAGATAACAGTACTTTTAAAAATACATTACCACTTTAAATAGTTTCAGGAACCCCAAGCAACTTTGCAAATATTACTTGCTATCTCTGCTTTTTCTATCCCAGTACTTTGTGAGCAATTATCACAGGCCTGCCTGAAATCTGTATTGATCTGTATTGATCAGAAATGTAATGAGTGAAGCTGCTCATTTGAATCAGTACAGGGCCGGACTGGGACAAAAAATAGGCCCAGGCATTTTAGACTGAACAGCCAAATCATGTGACCAATGATAGGCCCCACCCCTCACAACAGGGGGTGGGACCAAACACAGAAGCGCAATCGAGGAGCAGGGCCAGCCACTAGTAAGTAAAGGAGGGCTGCAGCTGACACACAAGCCTTGCTACAACCAACATACAAACCTTGCAATAATATAGGAAGCTGGGTAGAGAACTTTTGTGATATTCTCAGTGGATCTCCACCTCCCCAGCTGTCCACCTCACCCTGAGCATGGGATACAGGTAGGTGCTCCAGAAATAGCACTCACCGTGTTCCAGCAACGCTGATACCACCTATTCTGTGCACAGGCGAACCACAACACCACCGCACTGACAACTTTTGGCGGGTCTTTCAGAGCCGAGACTCTACTGGATGGGAACTCTGCTGTGATATGTAATTTCTGCTCCAAAACTAAAAGTGTTATGTGTAGAACAGAATGCAGACACTCAGGTGGATGGTCACAGAATGTAGAGTGGACATATGAGTAAAAAAATGCAGGCTGCCAGGAGCACAGGCCCCTCTCTAATTAGGCAAATTAGGCAGCCACCTAATTTTCCTACTTACAGGGACAATATATATATACATTATAGACTCTCTGGGTGGCACATACAGTACTGGTTCTATAGGGAGCAGGCAGGTTTAGGACATATAGTCCATGGTGTAAAAATTAGTATTCAGTGAGCAGAAACGTTTGCAAAAAAAAACACATTGTAATGGTATTATCACCCATATATATTATTATTACCCATCTTCTACAATGGTGTTACTTAATGAGTATTCGTTGCCTCCAGAGCCAGAAAAGTTGGCCAGTTGTCTTTGACTGGCACAGCCATCCTCAAAATCCCATAGGTGAGTCCACAGTTCAGGTGATGTCTAGCCTAGCGAACTTATTGAAAGGCATTGGTTTTCCAAGGGTGGTAGTGTAAAATGAGTGAGTGGTGGCATCCTCGCTGCCGTACTCATTGGCCGCACGAGGAGCGGCACACCAGCCTCCTAGCACACTCAGCCTGCCCCTGCAGCCCAACCTGGAGCAGCAGCAGACTAAGCAAATCATATTAATACATTATACAGCATTGTTGAATGGCACTAACTATAATAGACTGTATTGCTGTACATTATACAGCAATGCAGAACACCACCAGCTCTAAAGGACTCCAAATCCCAGCAATACATTATACAGCAATGCAGAATGGCACCGGCTACAAATCCCAGCAATACATTATACAGCAATGCAGAATGCTAACAGCTATAACAGACTACAAATCTCAGCAATACATTATACAGAAATTAATAGTATCACCAGTTATAGATGACTACAAATTCCAGCAAGACATTATACAGCAATGCAGAATACCACCAGCTACATTATACCGTACAGTACAGAAGTCAGCGGTGTGACACAGTGTGCAGAGCTCAGCAATCTGACGCAAAGTGCAGAGGTCAGCAGTGTAATGCATAGTGCAGAGGTTAGTGGTAAACACAGAGTGTAACACAGTGTTCAGGGGTCAGCAGTAAACCCAAGTACAGAGCTCAGTGGTGTGACGCAAAGTACAGAGGTTAGCGATGTGACGCACAGTGCTGAGGTCAGCGGTATGACACACATAGCAGAAGTCAGTGGTGTGATGCACAGTGCAGACGTCAGCAATGTGACGCACAGTACAGAAGTCAGCGGTGTGATGCACAGTGCAGACGTCAACAATGTGATGCACAGTACAGAAGTCAGCGGTAAACACGGAGTGCAGAGGTCTGTGGTGTAATAGAGTACAGAGGTCAGCGGTGTGACGCACAGTGCAAAGGTCACTGGTGTGATGCACAGTGCACAGGTCAGCGGTATGACACACATAGCAGAGGTCAGCGGTGTGACACAGAGTGCAGAGATCAGCCGTGTGATGCAAAGTGCAGAGGTCAGCGATGTGACACACATAGCAGAAGTCAGCGGTGTGATGCACAGTGCAGAGGTCAGCAATGTGACGCACAGTGCAGAGGTCAGCAATGTGACGCACAGTGCAGAGGTCAGTGGTGTGACGCAGAGTCCAGAGGTCAGTGGTGTGAGGCACAGTGCAGAGGTCAGTGGTGTGGCAAACTGTACAAAAGTTAGCGATGTGACGCACAGTGCAGAGGTCAGCGGTATGACACACATAGCAGAAGTCAGCGGTGTGATGCACAGTGCAGAGGTCAGCAATGTGACGCACAGTGCAGAGGTCAGTGGTGTGACGCAGAGTCCAGAGGTCAGTGGTGTGAGGCACAGTGCAGATGTCAGCGGTGTGGCAAACTGTACAAAAATTAGCGATGTGGCGCACAGTGCAGAGGTCAGCGGTGTGGCAAACAGTGCCAGACCATGATTCCTCGTCTTTAAAGAACTAATTAATGACTGCAAGGTTACCGAGTAACTGGCGTAAAGGTACCAATATTCAAAAAAGGTTCAAGATGCCTACTGTCTAACATCAATAGTATGCAAACTGTGTGTATGCAAACAGTGTGAGGAAATGATAAAGGAAGGAATATTTAGTGGATTTTGTTGGTGACCAAGGTATTATAAGTGATAATCAGCAAGGATTTATGAAGGACCGTTCTTTTTTTTTTTATAAATTATTTATTTTGAGTTTTCATGTTTCTAATACTTAAGGATGTACCCGTATGGACGCGCAGGTCCGGGTACTAGCAGGACATTCAGGACATTCAGAATACGACAACGGCAAGGAGCGGCACATATATAAAAAGAAAAACCTTCCAAACCCCATTAACCCTATCCGCGTACAGTGTGGCGTGGATGATTCGTGGGTAACACCAGCACGTGGGTAGCGAGGGTCCTTCATTGAAGCCAATCCTGGCGACCACTCGATTAGAACCCCGACTGGCTGTACTGCATTCGGGAAACCCTGAGGTTCCTGCGCTACACAATATAGCTACCTTGCCTGAAATTATTCCCAAGTGGTCCGCTATGTGCATGTGTGGTATAGACCTGGATCAATCATCCGCACCCCCATCGACCTGCCGCTTAAGACAGCCCGGCGGCGTTGGTCGGCCTGTGGGGTCCCACCCGTCCGGGCTTGGTAACTTGTCCTATCGCGGATGGGAGCGTTGCCATATAGCGATGGGGATATTGCCAATGTTGGCCTTAGGGGGGTAGGGGAAGGGGTAGGGGTAACAGTACTGACAAGGTGGGGGGGGAGCACAAGACAGGGGAGTAAGGGTTGGCTGGGGGTAGGTAGGGGATGATCTCAGTGTGTCATCGCTGGAGTTCAGGACTCCATGATCTCTCGATATTCTGCAGAGGTAGTATAGACTATCCAATAGTACCAGGTGGTCGAGAATCTGGAGGAGGTGCTGGTGAGGTCCTTCATGAGCCTGATGTTGTTAATTTTGGAGAACCAAAGTTGGACCGAGGGTGGGGTCGCCTGTTTCCAGAGTAATGGTATACATGCTCGGGCAGCATTCAGCAAATGGATCAGAACCGATCGGGAGTAGCTCTTAGGCGAGAAATGGTTATGGTGAAGGAGGAAGAATGCCAGTTCGTGGGGGACGTTGTGATCTGTGAATTTTTGGGTTATCGCTCGGACCCGGGACCAGAACGGGGTCACTCGGGGGCAGGACCAGAAGACGTGAGGCATGTCCGCAGGGGAGGTGCCGCAGCGCCAGCACGCGTCTGGCACATCTCGGTACATCTTGTGGAGTTTATGAGGGGTTCTATACCATCGCGTGAGAATTTTATATCCCAGTTCTTGGTATTTGTTACAGATGGATGATCTCAGGGAGTATCGCAGCAAACGGATTCTCTCTTCCTGTGGGAACTGGAGCCCCAGCTCAATGAAGTATAATGGGAGATCTAGGTCCCTGGTGAGAGCGAACTGGTAGCACAGGGAGAGCGTTTTAGCTATCAGTCCA